TTTTCTATTAAAAATGTTGATCATTTCCTGTTTGCTTTATGGGCTGACAGATCAAAACAAAGGCCTCTTGGTTCGGGAAGGCACTAATAAATGTGCCTACTTACAATGTCTTTAAACGAGGGCAATAGTATCCAACATATTCCTCAGAGCTGTTTTAAAAAAAACCTCCTGACATGCCCTGAATCTGTTCTCACTATCAATGTAAATCATTCCATTCAAAAACAGAATACTCAATACTATAGTCTTAATAAAAAAAAAAATGTTTAAAATAGAAATAAAATTCCTTAAATATAACTATCCAACTTATTGAAAAGTCTGCAGAAAACACATGATCTTTCACAGATATACAATACTAAACAATTCCTTTCAAAGGCAACACCAGGCAATAAAAGAAACTGTGGCTCAGAATCCCAAAGTCCAAAGTTCAAATCTCAACTCTAAATCACAGCCACTTAGCTCTCTCTGCTCCAGTTTCTCTCTCATCTGTTTAAGAAAGAGGGGAGAGGGGATATTACGGTGTGAGGCTCAAGAACAATCATGTTGTGGGAGCCCCTGTAAACAGTGAATCATCCCATATCAAGCACATCCTCACTTTTCAGCACAAAAGTCAGTCTTGGGATGTGACATTTCCATCTGAGGATATGGGGCCCTTTCAGAGACTTCAGAGACGGGATGCCTCACAGAGCAAGAACTGAGGAGCCACTGCCACATTGCACTGAGCTGTAGCCCTTTACCAACGGGGTTAGTGACACTGTGTAAACACTGGTTCCTTCAGCTCCCACAGCCACTTCCTACGTTGAATTTCTTGTAAAGACTGAAAGCTTTTTAAATAAATAAATAAATAAATAAATAAATAAATACCACATGGGGGGAGGGTTCCCTCTACCTGGAGAACATAAAGCGAAAGGAAGCCAGGTAAAAGAAAATATGCGTTACTTTTTAAATTAGAAAAAAGTACATGTGACCTTAACTAAAATATAATTCTGAGTGGTAAGGAGAAGAAATTTTCAAGGACTACTAAGTGGGGATTAGCAAAGAATAGGTAACAAATGCCCTGAATTCTTTAAAAATTCGCCTCATGAAGCAGAAAAAGATGACCTTCTGCAGCAGTTCCCGCCGCTAAGATGCCAGAGGAGTGCGCGCGCGTTCCAACCTGTGCTGCCGCTCCGGCAGGCTTTACCCACAGACCCGCCTCTCTGCGCTGTGCTGGCCGCTGCTGCCAGGGGCCAGGGAAGCAGCTCCTGGTCTTTGGTGCCCATACTGGGCAGCACGGGTGCAATCACTAAAGGAAAAGGCAGAGGTTCACAGAAATAGCTGGCTTCGTCTCACCTAATCACTTTCCAGCAAGAAGCTTCCCGGAAAGGTGAACTGAAAAAGGGCCGGACGCAAGGCTCCCCGAGCCCCGAGGCCGCAGAAGGAGAGCAGACCACCTCTAGCGGGAGAGCATGAGGACTCAGAATGTGGAACAAAGGGCTCAGCAAAGAACAGCCTCTTGTACTGCGAGGAACAACATGAGACTCAAAAACGCCACAAAATATTCCCCTCCTGGCATTGTTGAAGGACAAAAGGACTGAGCCTCTGGGAGGCGGTTTCTTTCCGCCGAGGAAGATACGTTAGCAGCGCACCAGCCACCTGCAGGGTGCGCTCTCGGTGAGAACCCTGGGCACGCTGGCTGCTCACTCTTTTGATCCTCAACAAAGGGCCGGTCCCTCCCCTCCCTCCAAAGCCAACCACAGAAAATGTCACTGAAAGGGAAGCTCAGATATCACCTTGCCCAAAGTTAATAAATCAACTAATTTTAAAATGTTATAAGCTGTATATAATCTCTAAATTATTTTTTTAATTAAAAGGCAGTAAAACATTACTATAGGATCAAATCAAATCTTACAGTGCGGTGGGAAAAACTTCGCAAACTCCTCCGTATGCTGAAACAAGGGCTCCTTCTCTCACCACCATCTGAGCAATTCCGCCAATCGGTGGGAAGTACAAATCAAAAGTTTCCCCCCTTGCTCTAAGGATAATGGGTTAGCAAGCAGACAGAAATCTGTGCTCCAAGCTCATCATAAAAATCAAAGATGAGCCAAAACCGGTTTGGCTCAGTGGATAGAGCGTCGCCCTGCGGACTGAAGGGTCCCAGGTTCGATTCCGGTCAGGGGCATGTATGTTGGTTACGGACACATCCCCGGTGGGGGGTGTGCAAGAGGCAGCTGGTCGATGTTTCTCTCATCAACGTTTCTAGCTCTCTATCCCTCTCTCCTCCTCTCTGTAAAAAATCAATAAAATATATTTTAAAAAAAAAATCAAAGATGAGCTCTAGCCAGTTTGGCTCATGGAATGAAGGGTCCTGAGTTCAATTCCAACCAAGGGCACGGACTTCCACTGCAGGCTCAATTCCCGGCCCTGGAGACTGCCAATCAATGTCTCTCTCTCACATCGATGTTTCTGTCTGTCTCTCCCCCTCCTTTCCACTCTCTCTGAAAATCAATGGGAAAATATCCTTGGGTGAGGGCTAGTAATAACAACAAAAAATCAAAGCTACAATTCAAAACATTTTCTCAGAGAAAAAATAATGATTAGATTTTCAAGTCAGTAATTAAAGAAATAATGCAGCTAACATACCACTTCTAATTGACTATTTTTCTTCTTTTATGTACAATATTTAAGCTACATAATAAATTGACACCCTCCGCCCTTCCCCACCCCCCCCCCCATAAGCATGCTAAGCCTAGGAGTATAGCCCTAGCATGCTTATGGGGGGGGGGGGGGTATACCCTGAGTTTTGGACAATTTATACAAGAACTTTCAGGCCATAACTGAGGAGGGGACAGAAGAAAGCAATGAGAGAAGACAGTTACCTTGTTTGGCAGAAAAGGCAGCTAAATTATACTAAGTCCCAGCTGCTTCCATCTTCAGAATAGCTCTCTCTCGTCTAACAAGCATTAAGTCCTTCCCTGTGCCCATGCTGTGCCCCTCCGCAGGAAATAACCGTTTTTCTAAAGCTAAACCCACCGTCTTAGGAAATCAAGAGTTGCATTCCGCCTTCCTGAGTAAATCACATACTAAACCCTCGCGCGCGGAGGTTTACATATGCCTGCCTCCTCCTCAGACCTCACACACCTGAGAGCGCTGCCTCGTGTTGTGGTTCCTCTAAGTGCCGCGGGGACAATAAGAAAGTACCATTTAGTAAGCGACTTGGTAGGCTCTCATTTGATTTTCGCAACCACGGAGGTAAATATCATCCCCACGTCACACATTCAGGAAATGACAGCATATAGCTCAGGAGCTAAGCGTCCACCCAGGAACCAAGAGGTCACGGTTTGATTCCTGTTCAGGGCACAGGCCCAGGTGGCGGGCTCAATCCCCGGTAGGGGGCGTGCAGGAAGCAGCCAATCAATGATTCTCTCTCATCATGGATGTTTCTCTCTTTCTCATCATGGATGTTTCTCTCTCCCCCCCCCCTTTCCTCTCTGAAGTCGATAAAAATGTTTTTTAAAAAGAAAAATGATGCTCAAAAACTTGCCCACACCACCAGTAAAGAAGCCAAGACCCACAACTCTGCCAACCCCACTATTTTAGACTTTCCTCCCCAGAAGGACAGAAATGGGGTACCACTGGGCAGGCGACCACTTTCACGTCACTTATTCGTTATTCCAGATACCCAGTTCTGAGCGCAAGTTACAGAGAAGACAGGCCACCAACTCTTCACAGGATCTATTTCGTCTTTAGGGGGAACTCGAAGAGGAAGGGTATAAAATATCCCCCGGGGCGACCCTCCCCTTGGCAGCATTGTCCACACCGGGCCAGCACCACCAGGCTCCGGTTCTCACCTCCATCCCCCGCGCACGCCATCACGCCAGCTGAGCTGAGCGGACTCCAACTTCACCACGTTACCTTTCCAAAACAGGATCTGCCACCAGCCCAGATCTCACTGCGAGTCCTTGAATTTAAATAAATCCAAGTTCGCACATAACTTGCCTGATGGCATTCCTAAACGTCTGCTCCCTCTGCCAGTTTAAAAAGTGATTTTTGTAACTGAACTGTGAACTAAATCTTGATTTAGCTGCAGTAGGAAACGGGAAACAAAAAAAAAAAAAATCTATGTTTAGCCAGATTACCCATCTCTACTTTCCCACTGCAGCTTGGGGGCGGGGGGCGGCGGGGAAGAAAGCTGTACCCTCGGCATTTCACATCCGTTTCGAACTGATGGCGATGACAGGTGACTTACGAGAAAGCAACGTGACCTGCACTCCCCACGTAACTGCCACACAAGCCCGAGGTTACGAAAGTAAGAGTGACGTTCCATCCCTTAAGTCACCTCCTGCTCCTTCCCATGACTTGGTGTAGGGAGTGTTTCACCCTGGAAGCAAACACTGGGACCCTGAGCGGGAGGACGGTCTCCGCCGAAAGCAGGTGGGACAAAGCGGGGACGGCGGTGCGCCCCCCACTTGACGCCGAGAATCTCCCCAATCGCCTCCCTCCCCACCCCCGCTTTGGCGGCAGGTGTTTGCGGCCCCGATGGCAAAAACACAGCGAAAACACACTAGAACGGGCCGGGCCGCGGGAGCCCGACGCCAGCGGGCTGCGGAGCCGGGGATGATGTCAGGGCGCGCTACCCTTCGTTGTGTAACGGGCCGGCCCGCCAGCCCGGGGCTCCCCGCCGCGGTGCGCAAACTCCTCCGAACTGAGGGCGGGGAGCGGGGGGGACCCGGCTCAGACCGCCCGGTGCCCCGCGCCAGAGCCCGGGCGGCCGCGCCCCTGCCCGCCCCCCGCCGGCCGCACCTGCCGAGGCGGCGCCGCCAGCGCCCCCTGCCGCCCTCCCGCGCCCGGGACCGAGCCCACCCCCGCGCCCGCGCCCGCGCCCGCGCCCCGCGCCGCCCCCGCGCCCAGGCCGCGCCGCCCGCGGGCAGGAGCCGGGGGCGCGCGGGCGCGAGCCGAGGCGGGGCCGCGGGGCCGCCGGCGCGGGCGCGCCCGGACCCCCGCCGCGGGCCGCCCGCACCCACCTACGCCGTATTTCTCCTCCTCCGTGGGGGTCCACATGGCCGGGCCGGGCGCGGCCCCGCGGGCGCGGCGGCCGGGCGACAGCGCGGCGGGGGCGGCCGCGGGCCCGGCTGTGGCGCACCGCGAGCCGAGGCGGGGGCGGTCAGGCGGCGCGGGGCAGCGGCTGGCGCATCGCTCACAGGCCGCCCGGGAGGCTGCCGCCGCCGCCACGGCCGCGCCGCGAGGCCCCGCGGGCCACCGAGTGGTCCCCGGCGGCGTGGGCGAGGCTCGCCGCCCGCCCGCCGCCCCCGCTCCCGCGCCCCGCTCGGCCCTCAGCGCCGCGCTCCGGCTCCGGCTCCGGCTCCGGCTCCGGCCGCCGCGGGTCTGGTCGGCTCGCCTCGGCGGGCTCGGCTCCCGCGCATGCGCCGCTCCCGCGCGGGGGCTCGCGCCGCCTGAGCTCGCGCCGCCCGAGCCGCGCGAGAGCCCCCCGCCGCGCCCGGGAGCCGCGAGAGGCGCGCGGGCCGCCCGGCGGGGTCGGGCCGGGCCCTTGGGGCGGCCGCTGCCTCCTGCCCCGCACGGCGAGGTCGCCGCGGGCCCCCTGGCCGAGAGGGGGGAGCCATGGGAAGAGGGTGACGCCGTTGGGTCTGCGGCCAGGGTCTCCCACCGCGTTGCCCCAGCACCGCCCCCAGGAAGGCGGGGGGGGGGGGGGTAGTGGAGGGGTGAGGGGACGGGGGGTGTGGGGGGGGGGAGCTGAGGAAGAACCAGGTGGGACATGCTCGCGCCCCTGGCTCTTAGGTCCTCCGGAGGCCGAGGCCTTCGAGGCCCGTGTTTCGCTGAGTTGGCCGCGGTACATGTTTGGGGACAACAATCACAGTCGGAAGTGCTTCCTCCTTGGATCAGGGGTTCCTGCCCTGGGCTCCGTCTCTGCTGCTCCTAGGTCTCTCTCTGCCTTCCTGGGTCGGTTCCCAGGACTTCCCTCTTTTCTGTCCCCTAAGAGCCTGTTCGTTCTGGTGCCGACCAACAGCACCTCCGGACACTAGGCCACCACCCATCAAAGCCCAGGCTAGTCTGACAACTGCAGGGCTTTTCCTCTCCAACGATACCTGTACCACATGGTGCTCCCAGCTCGCATACCAGCAGACCCATCCACCCATCTATCCCTCTATCCACCCATCCATCCACCCACTCACCCATCCATCCACCCATCCACCCATCCATCCACCCACCCATCCATCCATCCACCCATTCATTCACCCACCCATCCATTCACCCACCCATCCATCCACCCATCCACCCACCTATCCATCCATCTACCCACCCATCCACACATCCATCCACTCATCCATCCACCCATCCACCCATCTATTCATCAATTCATCCACCCATCCACCCACCCATCCATCTATCCAGCCATCCATCCACCCATCCATCTATCCATCCATCCACCCACCCATCCATCCTTCCATTCATCCACCCATCCATCCACCCACTCACCCATCCATCCACCCATCCACCTATTCATCCACCCATCCATCCATCCATCCACCCACCCATCCATCCATCTACCCATCCATTCACCCACCCATCCATCCATCAACCCATCCATCCTCCCACCCATCCATCCACCCATCCATTCATCCATCAGTTCATCCACACATCCATCCATCCATCCATCCCCAGCACTACCAAGTGCAAACCCTGGTGGAATCCCTCCCTATCTCTCTTAGACACCCCACTCTTCACAGCCCAGCTGGGTGCCTCACCACCAGGAAAACTTCCCTGATGGACCCTGCGGCCAGACTGGCTTCTTCCTGTCCTGGGATCCCAGCTGCGTGCCTTTGTGTCTTTCTCTCAAAAGGCAAGCGCCAGGGGAAAGCCACCTTTCTGGTTGCTCAGCACCCAGACTAGCACCTGCCAGGCACATACGTGTTGAGGAGGAAGCAGGACGAGTACAAGAATATCTCAGTAATGGACAAATCTTGTCGAGTCTTCCTTCCCAGTGTCATTTAGGATTGCTTTATTCCTCCAGGCCTGACTGTGCCCAGCTGGATTCCAGCGGTCCCCCATAATTCCATTAGTCATGGGGGATGCACTCCAAGACACCCCCCTCCATAGGTGCCTGGAATTTTGGGTGGTATCAGACCCTGTGTTTTTTCCTGTATGTGCATACCTTTTCGCTTACAGGAAGGGCTGGACAGCTTCTCTTTGGCATACCCAGATTGCCAGCATCGCTTCCTTTGCACTTTGGGGCCATGGTTAAGTAAGCACCGCATGCGATACAGTGACAGCCGATCTGATAACTGAGACAGCCACCAAGTCACCATCGGGTGGGAAGTGTCTACGGCACGAACACACTGGACACCGGGATGACTCACGTCCCGGGTGGAATTTCATCGCGCTCCTCAGTACAGCATGCGATTTAAAATTGATGGATTGTGTTTTTCCGGAATTTTCCACTCAACATTTTCATACTGCAAGTGGAAGACAGGCAGCTGAAACTGTGGGACATGGAACCGTGGATAAGGGGGGACGACTGCACTGCCACCAGCTCCGAGTTCCTACAGGCTTCTCCTCCCTCCAATGAAGGCTGCCCGCTCCTGCCCCCGGAAAATGCCCTGTGGGTAATTGAGCTTCTCCATAGCTCAGCGTGTTGTTGGCCAGAGACCATAGGACATGGCCTTGCATATGTCGCTGACTGTTCCAGAGTGACAGACCCCTGCCCCGTGGCTACCGTGGAACGTGTACGAGGGGGGTGAAGCCTCCCCACAGATCTCCCTCTGGGGAGCTATCCAGGAGTGGGGCTGAGTTACACAGACCTCTGAACAACCTTCAAGCTCTTATTTCATCCTCTGGTTTCACTCCATCAGTGGTGGATGTGCTGACGGTCTCAGCGCCGAAAGACGGCTTTTCCCAAAGTCTCCCCTCTCGTTCTCCGTCTGAACCCACCTCAACGGCAGGCTTCCGCTAGCAGATGGCCCCGGGCCAGCACTGCGCACCTCAACCAGAGGGCATCCCATCAGGCCCAGGCCCCGTGGTCTTGCTGTTTGTGCTAAATTCAGGCTGTTTTCCTGAGTGGAAGGAAAGGGGCAGAGCACGTGTTCTGGGGAATCCACCTGCATCGGGGCGTGCACCTGCTCCTGTGCCCTCTGCATCTGCTCAGCCCTTGCTCAGGCCCTCGGGGGGCCGGCTCTCACCCGCACATACACGCCCCTCCCAGCAGGAGAGCTGACCTCCAGCTTGCCTCTGAGCGTCAGAACCCCGGCACCCTGCCCTCCCATCCCATCCACACTTCTTTCTGTTCTCACATCACCCACCCAGCTTCGCCGGCTGCTCCTCCTCAGGATCCCCACGAACCCACTGCACTGTTGTGGCTCCCTGTCCCCCATTTTTACTCTCTTCTGCTCCACAGACTCCTGTGATCCAGGGACCATCTGCCCTGTGGGTACCCTAATCCCCATTCCCTCTCTCTTGCGCCTCTTGGTCTGTCTGCGAAGGAGAATCATCCACTCCAGATCCTTTTGTTTCAAGGCAATTCCTTTGACTCTCAGTCCTCAAAGTTCTGCTTTCTGACCCCATCACCTCCCAGAAACTGCTCCCCCCAAAAGCCCCCAGGTCCATCCCAATGCCAGACACAAACTGGAGTCTGCCAGTCCCTGGCTCTGGCCGGGCCTTGGCGTGCAGTACCCCTCAGCGCATGTACTCTCCTGTCTTGACACGTATACTGAGTGGCCAGATGATGCTGATCTCTGAACGCATAATAATCTGGCCACTCAGTGTCTGCCCTATAGAATAAAAGGCTAATATGCAAATTGTCCCCTCACCAGGAGTTTTACCAGCAGACAGGCCAGCCAGCCGCCCAGGGCCAGGCTGGCTGGATCCTGCCCATGCACGAATTCATGCACCAGCCCTCCAATACAAATATATATACTGAGTGGCCAGATTATCATGAGTTCAGAGATCATAGTAATCTGGCCACTCAATAGATCCTCCTCAGCCCCCAGCCAGCTTCTCCAGCTGCCGCTGGCTGCCCTCTCCGCAGCCCTTCCTCACCCCACCTCCTCCGAGAGATCAGTGGGTCCACTTGCACCTTGACAAGCATCTACTTCCTTCTTCAGGGGTAGCCATTATGCTTCACGTGGTTTTACCACACACGGAGCGGGACAGAGTGCCCGCTACCCAGCAGGCACCCACTCCGACCACTGTGCTCCGGGGTGAGCGGCCCACGTGGACGTTTCCTGAGAACTCAGTGAAGCAGCTTGTTGCTTCAGCCGGTCGCAAATCTCCAAATTCAGAAACTTGAGTCCGTGAGAGTAAACTCCTGGGATATGGGCACCGTGGCTTTAATGAAAAGTCCATGCAGACACCCTGTGGAGCAGCCAGGGAAAGAGGAGCAAACTCAGCTCAGCAGCAAGGCGGTTTGCCATCTGACTTTACACGTCGCTAGGACTTTGGGGGCGAACTCATTCCCTCTGTCCGCTCCTGCCCCCGGAAAATGCCCTGTGGAGGAGTGGGGAAAGGAAGCCGTTTTCAGCAGGAAATTGCTTAGGATTGGCGGGAATTCGTAATCACCCATAATCAAACAGATTTTGTACGGAATGCAGACAGCAGCATCTATTTCTGTTAAGTGGAACTTGCATTCATCAGCCATGTTTTTAACAGACGCAGACCCATAATAATGCCTCCCCCTCCCCAACCCCATCACCTTGGGCGAATAACCCTGGCCCTCTGCAAAGCTGGGCAGCGACCGGCTCTGCTCCCCGCGCTCTCTCGCTGCTGCCTGGAGAATCCAGCCTTCCAGGAGCCAGCCGGGCTGATGACTCAGCTCATAAAACAACGTGTGGCCACAGAGAGGCTGTTTACTCAGAAGCATCACGGAGGCTCCTGCTATTGGAGTCAGCAAGCAGGCGGCAGGCGGTGCAGGCTGCTCATTCTCGCAGGAGTTTCTGGTGCCGAGCATCACTCACCTCCCCGCCTCCCCCTCCCAGCAGCTGATCTCCTCTGAGGCTCTGTCCAAGCAGGAGGGTGGGGAAACTCAGAGCAGCCCATTGGGGACAGGGGCA